AGTACTTTCATAATCAAACTTCCAGTCATAATCATAATTCACATCAACAAACATAATCATTCAATTCCATTGAAGCACTTCAACCAAACATATCCATCATAATTTAGAGTTAAATTAATTTACGAACAACTAAGTCTCGTTATTCAATTGTTCGCGACCACAGAAATAGTATTCGACTATATCCGCGCATGGCCTAGCTTAGAGATACACGAATATCTTTGGCATCATTTCTAAGCACCTATATAAAGACACTTCTCTCCATACCTTTACCCTTACTGAACTTAATGTTCCTTTGTTGTCGTTTGCCCGAGTGCCGAGTACCTAGTTAGGTCGTAAACAGTTAATTTCGATATCACTAAGTTTATTCGGATTGTAAAGAAAACACCTTAGTGGGGTTCTAGACATTAAAACATTCCCAAATATTTAATTTGGACATAACTAAGATCTCGATTAGGCACGAAGATATTTTTCAGAGACATTGTTGGTTTAAAACTCAGAATTTGACGTAGGAAGCTCAGATTCGCTTTAGAAAAATCTCAGAAAAATCATTATCTTGAGATACACGCTTTATCTTCATAGAACAGAGTACTAATATAAGTTTAGGCTCATAAAACTCAGAATTTATAAACCATAAGGCAATTTGAAACATAAGCTAACATATAGTCAAAAATTAGATAGTTTGGAGTGCCAACTAGGGACTGTTTTCGTGTTTCCCTTTAAACAGTGAGGATTTCGATTTTTTTTTCCATGAAAGAATGATATTTAGCTAGGAATTTAAAATATGAACACATGCCTATATTATACGCAAAATTTGGACGTTAGGAACTCAAGTTATCAAGGAATTAAGGTATTAGGGTTTCCTTAACTCTTGAACACTTGGGACCGAATTTGCATGGCTTCTTAGCCTTCAACATTTTCGAGTTCTAACCTTTGGAATGATTTAAAAATCATGGGTTCAATGTGTTAAACAAAGCTTATAACACATGCAAGAGTTTTTCAATCCTAAACACCCTAGAACAAACACAACACCTAAAACACTCTTTATAACCTAACAACAACATAAGGAAGTGGGTTAGAGTTTAGGGACCCTTAATCCACATTTTTCAGCAGCTCCAACCTGCGAACATAAAGCTCTCCAACATGCAATGACAATTTAGCATAGCCACAACCGTTTTTAGCTCAATTGGAAGCCTAGAACTCAACTACAACACCTAACAACAACAATCTAGCATCATTTCACTAACTACACTTAGAGCAGAATTTTTGTAACCCCCAAAACAGTGTTTGCATGACATTTTTTCTACAATCAAAGATCAAAAATGGATTCCTCATACCTTGAAATGGTTGACTACCTCCTTGGATGAAAATCTAGAGAAGAAAATAGAACAAAGTTACAAACAACTCATTCTAGAATTTCACCTAAGTCATTGGTGATCAAGAGGAGAAATAACCTATAAAGAACCTAGAGATTGAATAAATGAGAACATAAACATGATCACCATACCTTGGGGAAGAGATTTGGTGGCTTGCATGTGAGTTTTGGTGGAGAAGATGGAGGTTTTCTCCTCCCTCTTTGGTGCCAACGTGAGTTGGGGAGAAGAAGAGAAGGTGAGTGAAGGTGGTGTTGGTGAGGAGGTGTGAGAGTGAGAGTGTGACAATTTCAACCCCCACCCCTTAAGGCTATATATATAAGTGTTAGGGATGAGTTAGTGGGGGAAGATATTTTGGGTTGGGGTGTCATTAAGAATTAAATAAGGATTAGGCATTTAGCAAAATTTTAAGTGTATGGTGTGGCATTTGGTTTGGGCAATTGGTGTAGTGCATGGATGTGTTTTTCTTGTGCTCTAAGACACCCTAATACAATCTTAGACAATGTCTATGAGAGTCTAGATGATAGTTCAAGCACTCAAAGAACTGACAGAAAGATTACGGGCACTCTCGGGCAATCCAGTTCAAAGGTACATTAACACTAACCCTTTTCTAAAAAATTTAACTAAGTTATTTATCATAGTATAACACTAAGATAATAACTTTCTATCCTCAAAACTCAACATCAATAAAGCATTATAAAATCTAATAGGTTAGGTGGTCACTTAGACCAATTCTAATTAAAATTCTAAGACGATACATTACCCGATCACGGCTAGACTTTAAACTTGGACAGCTTTGAAACTAACTAGATTAACTTGTTTTCAAAGAAATTATTAAACATATAGCATTCTAATATCAATAAAAATATAATCACACATATATATAAGCACATGAATACACATACACACACATATATATATATACAATCTTATGTCTACCTAAGCAAGGTGCTGAAAGGAGGGATGTTACAAGAGTAAATTACATTCACACCCCCTGAGTTTTAATGAAATTACACAAATCACCCCTCCATTCTTTGTCATTACACCAACCACCCCTCCCTCCTACACAAATCACCCCTAGATTTATACATACATTACACATACTACCCATGCATGTTATAAATGTGTAATATTTTAAAGAAAAAACGTGTGATGAATGTAATTAAGTTAAACAAAATATTGTATATTGTGTAACACTTCAAGTATTACAAAAGTGAATGTTTCTTTATTATTTTTGTGTCAGTAAAAAATACATTAATAATTTCAAATAAATGTTTAAATAACTCTTATATTAATTTATAACGATCCAAATAATGAAGACGCATTGACTCTTATATTATTTGAATTTGTATACATAATATACAATATTTTGTTTAATTAATTACACACATCATACGTTTTTTGTTTAAAATATTACACTTTTATATTATGCAGGGGTAGTCAGTGTAACATATGTACAAAATTAGGGGTGGTTCGTGTAAGGACAAAAAAGTGAGGGGTGGTTTGTGTAATTTCACTAAAACTCAGGGGGTGTGAGTGTAATTTACTCTTTTTATTATTATTTTTATGATATGTTTCTTATTGTTACAATTTTAATACTGCAATAGTAATATTGCAATATTAGAATTAAATCTAAACTCTAAAAAATATATATTTACAATGATTATTGCTAAATTAATGAATCATATTTAATTCAAACCAAATATAAGTCAAATATGTGTTACAATGCGTACAACTTTCTATATCTTATGTTTAATTTTAATAGAATAAATGTTGAAGAATCAATTTCATTATCATAATTAATTTAAATAAAAGATATGACTTTTTAAACCAAAAATATTATTTTTCCTTTATAAGGGTCAATGATACATTGTGATTTTTTAGAAGCTCTATTACAAAAAATGATGTCAAAAAAAATTTGAAGTTTCATTTTTTTGGATGAATATTATCCTCAATAGATACAATATTACTATCTTTATCACAATTTCATTATTTAGTAATTTCAATAAAAATAATAATATTACTATCTTTATTTTAGATTGAGGATCATTATTTTTATACCATGGATTTGATATTTTAATATTATTATTCATACAATCATAAATATGAATATTTAAAATTTATTTTAATATCAATAACATTAATAAATCAATGTTAACATATGGAGATTATTATTATTGTTTACATTATTTTTTATAATATAAACTGTAACTTTTATAATAAATATATTTTACTTAATATTTTCGTTGTTTTAATTTATTCTACTCATCTACATTATTAAAGTTATATTTCTAGTATTTACAATATATATTTGTTATGAGTTATACATGTTTTCTATTAGTTATTTTTGAATTAAACAACAAATGATTATAAATTTATATCTATAATGAGCATTCGCTAAAATTAAGGAATCAGGAATAACCTTAATTAAAATTGTATTAATAGTTGAATTAGTCTTTTTTCCTAACATTACTATTTCTGTAGTTCATGTTTTTTTATTAGAAATATAGTTAATTTTGGGTTTGTCATTCTTATTTATATTATGTATCTTAGTGTGATATCATAATTAGTTGTATCATTAGTACACATGTGTCATGTTAGGTACATCTTTTAGAATTAAATCCTGAAAATATATAGTCAAAAATAAAAAACTAATAGTAATATATCAAAATCTAATATTTTTAGGTTTTCCTACTACACTCCAATTGCAAAGAATAACTATTTTTGAGACATTTTTCATCTTAGTGAATATTTCTCTAAATGGAGCAAGTGTGTTTGATGGTAGTAAATAGAGTTAATTTATTTGTTAGATACTTATACTGAAGCACTTGCACCCATAACTTGTGAAAATCACCATTATAGATCTAATTCCATCAAACTTACCAAGAAGAAAAATATTATACTACATTATTATTATTTGACTCTAAAATAAATGTAAATAAATAAAATTCAAAAACGGTTACTATTATTACTATTTTTAATAACTACTAACAAATATTAATAATAGAAAATTATTAATATTATTTTTATTTTATATTTCTTATTTGTACTATTTAGATATTGAAATAGTAACATTTTAATATTAGAATCAAATCTAAACTCTATACAAAATACATTCATAATGAACATTGTTTAAAATTAAGGAATACATAGTTGTTATGAGTTATACATATTTCTTATTGCTTATTTTATAATTAAACAATAAATGAATAAAATTTATATTGAGTGTTGCCTAAAATTAAGATATCTGAAATAACATTGATTGAAATTGTATTAATATTTGAATTAACCATTTCCCCAAGGATACTGCTCTATTTTTATTTGTAAAATATCAAATCATTTCTTAGCTAAAAATATAATTGGTCACTTTTACAACTAATGGAAAAAAATTTAAAATCACACACACACATACATATATATATATATATATATTAAAATTTATAAATTCTATTGGTTACAATTCTAATGTTATAGTTTTATTTTTAAAATTCTAACGTTATGAAATTATATCATTACACAGTTACAATTCTAAAGTTATAATAACTAAATTTTAATTTTATAATACAATGCATTAACCATGAGTTAATTCAGTGTACCATAATGTTGACCAACAAATGACCTGTTTAAAAGATAAACTAAAAGGAGTAATCTTTAAGGTAAAAGCTTAAAAATGACCTGTTTAAAAATATAGGCTCGGCCTGTTTAAGGCAAAGCCTGACCTGACCTGACATGTTTCCACCTCTACCTACAAGTCATTAACTTATTTTTTCGGAGAAGAATCAATGATGGTATCCAGGGAATAACAATTGTCTAACTCTGTGCCATCAGCCGCAGTAAGACAGATGATACAAGCGTTATCCAAAATGATTGGGCGTAAAATGTCTGTTGGTGGCTTTTTAAGTTTGCTGTCAAGTCCCAGGGCTCATCCCTGGACAAGTGGTGGAAACTACCAAGCTGGAGTAGGGTAGGGGCAAACGGAATTTCCGGTGGAGCGGTGAAATGTGTAGAGATCGGAAAGAGCGGCAATGTTGCTTTGTAACCAATTCCATTAGGAACTGCGTATTTTCCAGTCCATCATATTCATGCTTTTACAATTCATGGCCCAGTTGCGTGAAGGAAACGAATAGAAGACTGACTCTTTCATGTATGTTTCACTTGGCTTGGGTCGGGGGGATATAACTCAATTGGTAGAGCTTTGCTCTTGTAATTGGGTCATTGCGATTATGTATTGGATGTCTAATTGTCCAAGCGGTAATGAGAGTATCTTGTACCTGAAAATCGGTGGCTCACTTTTTCTAAGTAATGGGAAAGAGGACTGAAACATGACTTCTTCATGTATGTTTCACTTGGTAGAGCTTTGCTCTTGTAATTAGGTCGTTGCGATTATGTGTTAGATGTTTAATTGTCCAAGCGATAATGATAGTATCTTGTACTTGAAAATCGGTGGCTCACTTTTTCTAAGTAATGGGAAAGAGGACCAAAGCATGCCACTGAAAGATTCTACTGAGACAAAAATCATCTTTTTTTATTACCTTCCTCGAATATGTATAAGACCGAATCCATTCAATTTTGAATTTATATCTTCCTACTAATTTTCTTATCCACAAGAAAGTAACGTAAGTAATATACTAGTTTTATATATTATCATGAGAAGAAATTTACTTACTCAAAGAGTAAGTTTTTTAAATTTACTTTACATTTTAGTCATTAATTCTAAGAAATCTAAATGATCTAATAATTACTAGAATTGATAGTTAAGATGTGAAGTAAGTTTTTAAAAATTATCATCCCTATTAGTATTATCATTTATCTTTTATGCATTATTCACTCTTAAAAAATAAATAGATATGAATGTGAATGAATTATTAAGTACATTTAAATATTCATTTAAGTGACGTCTCAATTTCTTTTTGCCACCATATTTACATCAGGTGTGGGGTTTTGGTCCAACTTTTATGAAGATGGTGACCCTGGGTAGCTTCAACGATCAATAACCAGGTATCAATTTCTCAAAGACTTTACCATACAATAGTACTGTCCTTCACACAAAGACAAAAACCTCAGTGTAGTCACTTTCTCTATCTTAAAAGCCCAACCCTTATTCTTTTTCCTTATATAGTAACTAATCATTGAAGAGCTTCATGGAGGTGAGGGATGACTTCATGGTTTCACCTGCTGGTGATAGTGTACCAACTTTGAGAACTGCCCATTTTCTCAAACCCATTGCAAACTCCATTGATGATACCCAAGTTTCTGGGTTTTTTCAACCAAATAAGTGGCCTTTACAATTCAGACTCAATTCTGGGTGGGGCTACCAATCTAAAAAATGGATTGAATGGGTTGATACTCTTTATCCAAAGTTTGAATCTTTGTGGAAGAAAGTTGGAATTTTTGATGCTATCATGAGCACCAAGTATTACATAATAAAAAATGAAGACTTGGCAATTGGGGTTGCAGAGAAATGGTGTTCCAAGACAAACACTTTTTTGTTTCCATGGGGTGAAGCCACTATCACATTGGAGGATGTCATGGTTTTGGGGGGTTTCCCTGTTGTTGGTGATCCTGTCTTCACTCCACTTGGAGGTGTAAAAATGGATAAGATAGAAAAACAACTTCTTCTTGCTAGACGGGAACTTTGGAGAACCCGAAGTTGTAAGTGTTTGACATCGGCATGGGTGAATATGTTCAAAGATAGTGGGAGGGAAATTGAGCATGAAGCATTCCTTACTACTTGGTTGTCAATGTTTGTTTTTCCTCATAAGGGATTCATAGGTAATGCTGTTTTTCGAATTGCTATTCATCTTGCTAGAGGGAATCAAATTGCTTTGGCACCAGCAGTTTTGGCAAGTATATACAAAGATTTGGGCTGCTTGAAAGATACAATAATTCATTTGACTAAAAGCACAGAAGTTAGTGAAGTGGATTTGGAGGTTAAGCTTCAGTCAGAATTTTACTTGGTTCAAATTTGGGTGTGGGAGAGGTTCAATAATTTGAAACCAGAACCCAATTTGATCAACAATGGAGACCCTATATTGGCTAGGTGGCACAAAGTTAAGGCCTTGGAAATTGACAATGTTAGATTGGCCTTAAATTTAGCTTTTGATGATTTTATTTGGCGCCCTTACGTTATACATGCTGGTAAGTGGAGGGTGTTTTATCCAGAAAGTGAATTGTGTGCACTTAATTTTGATCCTGAATTCGATAAAGAGCTATTATCTTTTGTTACATGCTTGAGAGCTTCTGAGCTTGTTGGAATTGGTTCTATTATAGAGCAATACCTCCCGCATCGAGTTTCTATGCAATTTGGAATGGATCAAGATGTTCCAGGTTGTGTGCCTCGACGCAATCAGACTAAAGCCATTGCATGGGAAAATTATTGCAGGCCTATATGTCATCGGAATTTGTATTTCCCATCAAGGCTTTTTGAGGCAGATGTTACCACAACTTATGCAAGGTGGTGGAAGCAAACAGTGGTGGATCATCTGGATCCTGTTAAGAATATTGTGCAGCAAAAGAGAAGTGCAAGAAGGTCATCAAGTCGATGGACTCATGCATCAAAAGCAAACAGAAGCGGTAATGATGCTAGTGTTCCACCTGGTTTTCCTCCCAAATATGTTAGCAATATGATTTCTGGGAAGTGTTGTGATGATGGTTCAAAAGCAATTAATGGTGATAATGTAGCTGATTTACCTTCTTATTTTCTTCCTAAACGTTTAAATCATTGCAATCGCAATACTGCGGCGGCATCACGTGATGCGGTCCGCAATTTAAATCACTGTTCTGTTCCAGATGATTTGGAAGCTAATGATGATACTGACACTGATGTTCCAACAAGCTTTTATCCAAAATATAACACACTGAAGCATTGCGATTCTGTGGAAAATTGTAAGCCTGTCTTCGAAGATAATAAGAGTTTGGGTAATGTAACAGCATATGAATGTCAGCATTTGTCCAATCAATGTTCTTCAGCATCTACTTCAGATCATGGAGCTGTTGAAAAAATATTACCGCTGTCGAAGCTATACGAAAAAGATAATATTGATTGTTCAATAGGGGGTTTGGAGGAAGATTTTGAAGATGCAAATGGGAGTGAATATTCAAGGATGTCTACAGACAAGGCAAGCCTATCTGGAACTCAAGATGAAGATCACAGTGATTCATCTAAGACGAATGTAGAGGAACTTGAACGGAGAATTAACAAACTTGAAGCGGAATTTGAACAGCGAATTGAGAAAGTCCAGAGAGAGATTACAAAATTAATGAAAGCAAGGTTTGGTCATAGTTGAAAATATTATTAGCCTATCAAACTAAAACAGTATCCCATTGTTAACATGTATTACTTGTTAGTTATCTCTAATACTAGAATGGTTATTTGGCATGAATGTTCAAAAAATCAAATGCAATATAATCTTTTAAGATCTCAGTGTTGCTAATTTTTTACTTATTACTCGTGTGTTAGTGGACTTGGCTGGTACTATCATAATGGATCAATATTATTCTCACTCTATAGCCTTTTTCTCTTGTTTCCTTTACTGTTTCCTTAAACCTCTAAGTATTCAACAAGCTTTCTCTTTGTCAGAGTTATGATGTACTTCCAAACTTGTGTTTCATCTTGTTGCGCAGAGTGAATTCAATGTATGTACATAATTAGAGGTTGCAGTTAAAAAACTCGACCAATTTACTAATTTCATTTGCTATAGTATCCTCCAAAAATAGCATCCGTAGTTATTTCAAATTAAAACAAAATTCTGTGCTCACAATTAACATATCTGTGCCAATGGCATCAGAACCTATTGGCTCCATTTCAAGAAGTTCCACATCCTTGCTATGCAACAGTGGTTTTCTATGTAGAAAGCTAGTTGTGGCTAACTGTGTAATCTTCATAACAATTTGCATATTTCTTCGTTTCGAAGTTTCGAAGTTTTGCTGTGTCCTTTCGTGTTTTCCGAGAATGGATAGAAGATAAGGGAAGGAGGTGAGAAAGGGAGAAAGACGCAATGGATGGTCTCTTATTGTAACATTGTCCTTGATACCACATTTGTTGGTTTAGCTGAGTGGTACACTATAATTTGAAGACTGTGTTAGAAGATTACTACTCAGCTCATATTGTTCAAGTATAATTGTGTTATAGGCTAGGAGCAATTTTTTTAACAACCACCAAGCTTTTACTAGGTGGAGTCGGCTATATGGATCAAACGATGTCATAATTCTCTATCATAAATCATGTTCATTTACAAAATATTGATCTTTAAGTCTTTCTTAATCATTTCCCATATGGTTATTTTGATATCCCTATTCCTCTAGAAATTCGACTAGCTAACATTTGATACACTCTCTTACAACATGTTATCACATAGACTTGAACTGTTAGTTGGGTCCAAAACATATAATTTGAAATTAAAAGTAGTGTATTTCCTGTCTGCAAGCTCTTTTTATGGTCAGGTATAAATGATGCATCAGTAAAAGATTTACTGTCAAGGGTAATTGCATATGTTTTTTCTTTTTATTTTAATTTTATGGATCATGGTGATAATAGGGATCTCATCTAATGGAACTATTGAACTAAGGCTTGATTGTTGTTGTTGGCCATGGTGATAATAAATGATTCAGTTTTATCATGACGTCACAAGTTCAAATCCTGAAAATAGTCTCTCCATTTGAAGGGGTAATACTGCGTACATTTATCCTCCTCAAATCCTACTAAGTGGGAGCCTCGTATGTTGGACGCCTTTTTTTTTAATAGACAATGAAAGAGCACCTGCTTAATCACTATTCCCAAACCAGTTGTTTGAGTCACTGCTACTTTGAGTTTTGGATCTTTTGATTGCATGCAATGTTGCTTTGATCTATTGATTGCATGCAATTTGGAAATGGTTTGTTATCTAAGTTTGTTAATGATCATAGATTCATAGTATAAACAAGCCATGTCTTACAACTCCCCCAACACCAATTTTCTGGTATAAGAGCGTGAAAGTTCCACGGTGAAACTACCCATTCATTGGTGGCCGATAAAAGCTATGCAAATGACTCAACAAATGTGCATGAATTTAAACCAAAATTTGATATGAATTTATTAAAGGGGTGT